TGGGTAAGGTGATGTGTGCCCTGAGTGTGGGGAAACTGAGACAGAAACAGCAGACAAGGTTTGTCTTGAGTTGTGCAAGAAGCCAAGGGTTAAATTCATCAACAACCTCCCTCAGCTCCCTCTGGTCCTGGGCTTCTCCTGCTCCTGCCCCCAACTGCTGGAGGAGTTGATCTGCACTGGGAGTTACCCTGGGGGAAGAAAAGCACAGAGCCTGGGGGGTTCCCATGCCTTCCATAACCCTTAGTGCCTGTGGGGGCTGCAGCAGAGACCTGGGGCTCTCTGTGCCAGGGCAGGCCCGGATTTCGGGGTCCCACTGCCACATCACAGCCCCGGAGGAGGCATGCAGAGGACGTGCCTCTGCTGTGAGATGAACTGCAGCATTTCCCTTCGAGGCACAGAGCTCTTCCACATCCCTGCCCGCTCTGCCGCGCCCGCCAGGAGCCACCCGGGGACGGGAACGGGAGGGGGATGCACTCCTCCCGAATCCATCTCGTTTAGCATCGTTCCCACTGCTGAAGGTACATGTCTCAAGGTGGAGCCAGAAATAGCGCGGCTGGCGCTGCAGCGGGGCTGGCAGGCCTGCAGGCTTGGCAGGGGGACAGGCACCGACTGCAGCAGTGGGAACTTTCCAGGCAGCTCCTGCGGGAGCGGCCGGTGCACAGATGGAGCCATTTCCATGCAGACCCAGCTCTGGGACTGAGGATCAGCCCCACTCAGCCGTGGGGTTGGGGCTGACACGGGGTCCAGCACAGAGCAGGACAGAGCTAACAGAGATATCTCCTGAAGGAGAGTGACTGGGATCGCATCCCACCTGAGCTGGGACACAGGTCTGGGCTCTGCCACTGATTTGCTGCAGAACTCAGGAATGTGGCTGCACCTTCTACCTGCCCCCATTACCCAGGAGTGGCAGGTTTTCCCCAAAATCCATCTTCTGTCACCCTCTAAGGAGCTCAGTTTTTTTGGGGCAGCTCCTAAATCACAGCCAGGCTCTGCAACTTATTGGGGGCTGCTCCCCTACACTGACTCTCCACTGAGCTCTCCGCAGCAGCCGGCACAGACCAGGACCACAGGGCTCAACGGGAGGCCCTAAACAATGCCGACGAGCTGAGCTCATTCCTCCCAGCTGATAATTTGCTTAAAAATATTTCTGAGCTCAGGCCTCCTCAGGGAAAACACTCCCAAACGCCAGGCAAAAAGCTGCTGAGTCTGGAGGAGCCACACACCCACCACTTGCCGGGCGAGACGTCCCCCCGATGACAAGTCCTGGCGTCAGAGGGACTGAGGCCAAAGGCTGCCGTTTGATCTCCCCCTTCGCTGGGGGAAGCCGAATTTCAGCCCGTCCAGGGGTTTTACCACTTCCCGGTAGCGGTTTCCTGCGATGATGCGAGCGCAGGAATTTTTGGGAGGTGAGTCAGAGGCTGCAATGAGAACCACCTGGCTGGGGCTAGGCTGGGAGGCTCGATCCCGATCCAGGGGTGGGTGATCCCTGCTGCGATGCTTGTTGCCGGCGGGCAGCATTCCTAGAGCGGAATTATTTGCGGGGGACACAACATCCCATCACAGACCCCATTTCTGGCCTGGAAGAAGAAAGGGATTTGCTGCCTCAGTTCCCACGGCTCCTCCTTCCTTGCCGGGCTGGGATCGGTACGCTCCGGCCACCCCACCCGGGCTCCAGGGAGAAACTTGGGTAAGAATAAAGAGCAAAACCTCGTCCAGCTCTGCAGGAAGCCGCCTGGAATGGCTGTCCCGCCCCAGCACCGAGTTGTTCCAAGAACAGAACTGCCCCAAAGCAGCACCGAAGCTTAGTTTTCCTTAGGGAGCAGCGCAGGAGTTGGCGGAGCTGAGAAACTGCCCTCCCTGGTTTCTGAAATTCAATACATAAAATGAGTTCCTGCTAAAGGAACCTCCCAGGTTTTGCCTGCTGGGTATTAAAGCTCCATGACCCCGTTCCCACTCTCTCTCCAGCATTACTCAAACCCCTCTGCGTAGAGAATAAGTGCGTCCAGAGAGTGAGACTGAGCCGGGATAAGCCTTTGGAAAGGAGCTAAACCTGCTCAAAGCCGGCACTGTTCCCTGACCCGCCCTCCTAATCCTGCCTGGTTGATAATGGAATAATAAAGGACTGCACAGCCTTGCTCTCTGCTGCTCTGTGGGGGAGGTTCCTGCTGCCTCGGTACATGCCAGGAGCTGGGATATTAATGACTCCCTAAGTAAACAGAATTGCTCCGTTCTTTTTCTTTGCGTGGCTGTAAAACCAAGCATGACCTTCAGCCCGCAGAGAAATCAGAGTCGCTCCCCTTTCCAGGAGAAAGGCTGGCTGTGGCAGTGATAACACCATGATCTCTGCCTGCCACCTTTGCCAGGGCTGATCCCAACCCTGCAGCTTCAACAGCGATCCCAGTGGGACTCACAGGGCCACCCCTGCGAAGCTTTGGCATCTCCACGTGAGGATGAAGCCGGTGATTCCCTGGGGGAGAATCTCAGGAGCACAGAACGGGGGGTTTTGGCACACCCAGCCCCTCCAAGGCGTGCACACCTTGTCTGCCGTGCTGGGGGCTGCCATGTAGTAGAACCTACAAACCTGTTGCATCTCAGTCTCAGCAGCTGGGAAGAGGGCAGGGAAGTGACAATGCCGATGAGATCCACTCCCTGTGGCTGGAATGGCTCTGAGCACCTCACAGGACAGCAGGAATGGTGACAGGAGAAGGGCGCTGGGGGATCCGGAGGGCAAAGCAGAGGCTGAGGGCACTCAGGCCAGAGCATCATCCCTGAGCAAGGAGCCAGCTGGGAAGGGGATAAAGAGTCCTTCCTTCTCCACGTGCCTGATCCCAGGCAGGGAAGGGCTTCAGAGAAGAGCAACAGCAGGTCTCTGGGAGGGACTTGGCGGGACGCTGAGTGCTCTGCAGAGGGATGTGCCATGGCTCCTGCAGTGGCAAGATTCCCTCCCAACCCTTTCAGCATATCCCCCCTGCTAGGGTGTCCCTGCAGCAAGACTTCCCTGGCTCCCTGGCGGATGAAGGAGGGACCCTGGGAAGCAGAAAGCTTCCTACATCACAAAAAGTCTGGCCCATCATATTTTTTGAAGGACAAAGGCAGCAACCTGTGAGAAGTGACCGCCTGTACCATGGGTGCTGGGACTGCTCTCAGCCTGGAGCTGGGGTGCCCAGGAGGGGTGTCTGGGCTCTCTGGCTGATGGATGTTGTGGATTCATCCCAGGATGATTCCAGCCTGAAGGGCTGATCAGAATCCCACGCCTGGCTGTGCTGCCTCCTCAGAGTGAACTCGGGCAGCTGATGCTGTCAGCTCTTGCCTCGCCTTGGGGGAATCAGCTGGAATGTGGGAGTCAAGCTGGACTAGCCCCTGCTCTGACAAGGCACAAATTTAGGACCTGCAGGAGGCACAGCCAGAGGGAGATGTGGGGCTGGAACTGCAGGGACAGGTAAGGTGTCACCAGGTGAGGTGGAAGGAGAACAGAACTGTTCCTCCCAGTCCTTGGGCAGTGCTGGCATGCAGAGGGGACGTGGACAATTCTGTCTCGTTTGCACTGAGGATGTCTGAGAGACAATCTTTAATGAAGTGTCAGTGTGAGGGGGCTGATGGCAGCGCTGCAGCTCCCAGCTGAGGCTGTGACAGGGACTCACTGCTGGAGGCACCATGGCTGTCACGCACTGGAGCAGCTGGAAAGCCACTGGGTCATGGAGGGGAACCTCGTCCTTGTCCTGAACGAAGCCCACCGGGCCTCCTCCTTCTCCCTCACCCCCAGCTGGGAGGACACAGGCCAAGGGACGATGGTGTTGCACAGCAGCTTAGAGAACTGCCAGGAAAAGCCTCTCCCTCCAGGGTGAACCAAGTGATGTGGGGCGATGTTGGTGATTAAATTAATGCAGTTTGCCTTCACTGCAGTAGTTTCTGTCATATCCCCTCATTTCTGCTGCACTGTGGGGTGCTCTGATCCATCCTGACCACAGGGGATAGATCCTGACAGTGTTGTCACCTCCTGTCATCTTCCTATCTGCCAAGGCTCAGATGAATATTGTACATATATTAAAAATTTTAAACAAAATGTAAATACCTGTATATATAATATATATTTGTTCAGCCAAGTTTCACCTCCTCCTTATATATATCGAGATACATATATTCCATACATATATCTAATATATATATATAATTACTATACACATTTATATAATATATACACATATATATTACATATTTATATATTATATGTTAATATATATTTTTATATATATAACATACATATCATAGAGATATAATATGCATATTATATGTGATACATACATGTTATATACTACAAGTACATACTATATGTATATGGTCTATGCTTAATATTTTATATATGCTATGTATTTTACCTATGAAAGTGTAGGTTATTTATGTAATAATATATACATTAATAGATTTAATCCATAGGTGTTATAGATGTTGTATATAAGCACACAGTGCATGGAAGGGTCAGCCTAGCGCTCTGCCAGAGGGGCTGAGCTGACCGCTCCTGTTTAACTAAGCCAGTGAGTGCCTGTAGCCGTGAGGATTCCAGAGCGGACAGCGCAGCGCCGGGCACGGCGCATTCCCTCAGGAAAAGGGCGCGGATCCTCCCGCCGCCCCCGCCACACAGCGCCGCCGCCGCGCTTCCGTTTCCCCCGCCGCCATCTTCGGCACGGGCACGTCAGCCACCGCCTACCCGCCGTGCCTCTCACCGCCGGGCGGAAGCGGGGGGCGGCTCGCACTCGGGCAGAGGGAAGTTTTATCCCCCGAGGAGGGACGTTTCTGCCGCCGTGCTCCCGAGGTACCGGCGCGGTTCGGGCAGGCGGTTCGGGCACGCCGTGTCGGGCAGCGCGGCGGTGGCGGTGCCCTCACCTAAGATGGCGGCGGGGGCGGGCTCCTCCCGCCGAGAAGATGGCGGCGGAGGGAGCGGCGCTCCGGCCGGGTGGCGCAGCGTGCTCGGCTGGGTGAGGGGAGCGGGATGGGACCGTCCCCTCCAAACACCTCCCCCTTCACAGGGACCTCCTACCCCGCCGCGGAGACCTCGGTCCAGCCCTGCTGCATCACAAAGAACCCCCCCCAGCCTTCCTTCTCCAGCCACGGGAGCCCCTCTCCGCCCTCATTTTGGGGTCATCCCTGTTGCATGAGGGGCCACTGGGTGGGCGTGGGATTACCCGTTGCCTGTCTTCCCCTCTACTCCCTAAGGCAGCCGCTGCTCCATGTTATCTTAATAATCATAATTCCCACCCTCCCGTTCATACTTTGCCGCAGGAATGGACCAGCAACTCCATAGGTAGCGGAAGGGTCCCCACCCTCTTCTTCCCCCTCCTCCTCCCCACCCCTTAAGGGGCGGTGATCGCGGCGGAGAGGAAAGAAAAGGATGCCACGGAAGCTGTTGTTGCCTTATAAATCTGTTTTTTCTCACTTTCGAGCTCCACAGGGGTTGCATGACTCTTTGGCGATGAACGCGGCCAGAAGCGGCTACCGAGTCTTCTCGGCCAATTCCACCGCAGCCTCCACCGAGCTGGCGAAGAAGATCACGGAGTAAGTTGCCTTCTCTTTCAAGTTTCTTTCTCCCCATCGCTCCCTGGCGCAGGCAGGAGCTCTCCCGAGCGGCTGGAGAAGCTTCTGGCATCCCCCCGCCTTCCCAAGGTGTCTCCTGCCAGCACCTTTGTGGAGATTCCGCACTGGGAATCTTCACCTGAGCCAGCGATGGAGATGGAACCCCCGCTTTCTCCCTTCTTCGACGTCCATTGCACTGCTGGAGAGGCTGGGCTGCAGCAAAAGCTGTTGCTTTTGGGGAGGGAGGAGGAGAAACTTGGCTGGACAAACCTCAGAAAAGCGTTTTTAGCAGGTTTGGGAGATGCTCAAAAGAAAAGCGTTTTTAGCAGGTTTGGGAGATGCTCAAAACTTTCTCCGACTCCTGACCTTGTTTTCCCAACAGCTTCGGTACCTGGGGCAAGGGGAATGTCCATGTGCACATTGGCACAGCACCTTGCACTGACCAGAGTGGATTTGGGAGAGCTGGCAGGCCTGTGCTCTTTGGTTCGGGGTAAAAGTCTGCCCTGTTTTCTTCAGCCCATCAGTTTAGGCAGAGTTTGACCTTGTCTTGCCTGGGATGGGTGCACTGGGTCCTGCTGAGTGAAGGGTGTCACAGCTGCCTCCAAAACCAGGCTCTTGGTGCACAGAGCTCAGAGTTTCCCCCAGCACTTGGACTTCGGGGTTGAATGAGTTTGGTTCAAACTGGGGCAGTCCCAGCCAATGGGACTATTCTGAGAAGGGCATCTGTGTATTGGGCTGTCAATTTAGGATCTGGATTTTCTTTATGCTGTTTCTCAGCTACAGTTCATAGGCAGCTGATCCCAAAATCGAGGGGTCTCAGTTCTTGTTTGCCTGCTGTAGCTAACAGCATCCCAGTTATCCTTTCTAGGCATCTGCTCTCCCATTCCCATCTCCAAGGCTGTGCTTAAATTGGAAGTGGGACTTAAGTACAGGTGTGCTGCCACCTTAAACTACGAAAACACTTTGCTGTTCATCCTGCTTGCTTAATAAACAGTGTTCAATACTTAGCACAGATTATCTCCACAGAGCTGACTTGGCTGTTTGGCTGGGAGGTGTGTTGGATAATAGTGATGAACTTCCTGAAGTGTGAGGTTAAGAGGAAAATCCTTGTGTTTGGGAGTGGAAAGCTTTTTTTTTTTTTTGGCTCATGTAGTCTTGCTATATTTGGTCGGTTCTGTTCCACTTTTCTTTCCCTGAACTCTGAAACTAATGTATCTCTCTATAAAAGTGAGTTTTGCTGCAGCAGATGGGACAGAGTTTTAGAGAGCTTGTTCTGTTGCATCAACACAGCACAGCAGAATTCCCCTGGGGACGAACTCCCAGTTCTCAGGACTGGAGGAGCAAACGGGCAATCCTTCTTCCTTGCTCTTTGTCTTAAAAATAACTCCCTTCTTTTTAAAGATGAAATGAGAAGAGACGTGAAGAGGCTTCCCCAGGCCACAGCACTGGCTGGGATGATGTGCTGATGTTATCCCAGGGATGCTTTGAGGGGGAAAGAAGTAGGATACAGATCCAGAATGACCTCCTGGCTCCCTCCTTCATCTCTCACCAAGTAAATTTCTAATAGGAGCAATGTGGGGTTTTTCCCTTGGCTCTGGATGCTCTGGTGGTGGCATGAGCACAGCCCTGTGACACACAGCTGCTGCTTCACTGAGGCTTAAGGACATTTATCTTTGTTGTGGGTGCAAAATCTGATCCTGTTTGCAGTACAGAATTGCCCACAGTAAAAAGTCTCCCAAAATTAAAGGTATTTTCAGCATCTAGTGGAGTGGTTTTGCACTGCCTTCCCTTTGGTGCTCGAGGGCTGTTTCAGCTGATCTGTAGCACATCCCTTGTTCTTTCAGGTTGCAAAAGATGTGTGGCTGCTGCCTTTCCCCCTGTCTCACATCTCAGGCTGTTCTTTGCTGGGGAGGTCAGTTGTACCTTTAAATAGTGTTGGAGCAATTTTACAAGGGTGAGTCTGTCCTCTAATATTGTGTGTTCTTTTTAAAGTTTTTTTATGACCTTGAGTAAAAGTAGTAAAATAACTTTAAAACAACACGCAATATTAGGAGGGCCCCTTGAGACACCTGTCCATCTGGGCTCTGTTCTTATCTGTAGGTATGAGCTTAAGATCTCTACTTGGGTAGTTCTGACTTATCCTTTTTAAAATCTCAAGCCTGGAGAGGTGCAGTGTGTGACACCGAGCAGCTTTCAGGCACCTGATTTTTGTCCTTGCTTTGTTTTCTGCTAAACTTCCAGAGCTACTTTCGTTTCAGGCTCTGATCATCATGTTCTGGCACAGTTCTGATCTACAACATTCCCCTTGAGCATTCTCTAGTTATGGGACAGTGATTAATGCTCAGTCTTACTTTCACTTTAGGTTTCCGGAGCTTTAGTTGATGGTAGTGACTGCAGGGAGAGGAGATGGTGCTGGATTATGAGGACTTTGTGAAACTTGAAATAGTGAAGATGTTCCTTGGATTCACCACCATGAAACATAAACAAACCCATATATTTACTTTTCTCTTATAAATTGAAAGTGATGATTATTTTATTTTAAATTCTTTCCATGATGGAAAGAAAACTCTCGCTGTAATTAGGACACTTGGGATCTGATTACAAACTGCATTTTCAGGGGAGAAAGATAATTTCTGTGACCTAATACATCCTAATTCTGGTTCCTAATGGGCCTGTGTGCTGCTGGGGGTAGGGAGAACTAGGAAGTCTTTTTGATCTTTAATCCAACAGATGCATTTAGATCTCACTCTGACTGCAGTGCTTGGCTCAGCAGGTTCAAATATTAGATTCTACTCACTGCTTATGTGTTTGGCTTGGAGGAGGCTGGTGATTGAATCTTGCTAATGCCTCCCCAGTGCTCCTGCAGCTCCGTGATGTGGGATGTGATACTGTCTCACTGCCAACTGTGGATGGGAGTATTCCAGAGATTCACTCAGTTTGCAGCGTGGGAAATGCTGGTGATCTGAAGATAAAGCATTGCCATGAGCCTAAACAACATGGAAATAGGAAAACATGGGGGTTTGTGTTTTGACCTCTGGCTGCAGGGAGCTGGGTCACAACGCTAAACCCAGGGTGGTGTTTTCTGTGACTGGGTGGGAGGTGAGCCCTGCTTTGCAGGGAGATAGTACATTCAGAGGACTTGCAGCAGCCTCCCTCAGCTGAAGGAGGATTTCTGGTAGGAAATGTATTCTTTAGGTCATCTTGCCAGCACATGAGACGGTGGCAGAGGGGAGCCAGAGCATCTTTGTGCAGTTTAGGCAGAGCACAGAATGTGGATGAGCAGACTGGGCTCATGTGGAGCTTTCTGTGCTGGCCAGCACAGCTTTAGTGGAAGTTCCTTCACCAGGACTGGGCTGGTAGGAGTAGAGGAAGATGTGCCTGGTATTTGCCAGTAGTTGGGCTGCATGGCTTTGGTGTGGCTGGAACAAGTGATTCCAGTGGCAGATGAGGAATAGGGACTTTTCTTCATATATCCAGTCGTGCTGGGTGGATGGAGAATGGCAAAGGAGAGCTCAGATACTTTTAAGGCTATCTGAACAGATTGTATGCAGGAAGCTGCCATTCCCTTTCCTTTCCTGGCTGTTCTTGTACTGGGGAATTAGGAAGTGCACAGCAGAGCTGCCATTGTGTTGGCTAGACCATGACTGATCTTTATTTAAAGATTTACTAAAGTTTGAAAAGCAATTAAGAGTCAGGCTGTGGCTTGATTTGGCCACAGTCAGACACAGCACAGACCCTCTGTCCTCTGCTCCAGCTCCTTCTGAGTCTGCACCAGTTCCTGGAGTCTGGAGATGTGGGGAGAGCTGGGAATTTGCAGAGCTGAGACCAGGGAAAGTGTTTATAATGAAGAGGATATTGCCAAAATAAAATACTGTGATTAAGAGGTTTGTGTGCAGATTTCTCTTCAAATTGATTGCGCTGTGAGCTGGCCAGAAGCTCCCTATGGAGATAACCTGACAAGTGTCTCGGATTCTGGTCACAGAGGGGGAGAAGGAAACACAGCCTCGCTGAGGGCACTTCAGTGGCATTGAAACAGGCTCTGATGGCACAAAATACTGCGAGTACATCTGCCCCTTGAAACTTGATTCAGCTGAATGTGGGGTGTCTTTGGCTGCCCTTTGTCTCAAGAGCCTGGTACAGTGGTTTTTGACAGTCTTCAGTGGTGCATTTTAAAGTACAGTCTGATGCACCCTCACAGTGTTTCCTAAAATACTGCAGTGTGTCATTTCCTCATTAAACTATAGGTGGTTCCTGAGCTGTTTGCATTTAGATGTGAATTTGAGACAGGTTTTATAAACACTTTTGTATTCACATCTTAATATCCTCTTGGCATGTTTTGAGAAAGTTAGATCATCCTTCCTGGGCAGTGTTTGCAGAGAGATTCTAGATCAATAGGAGTTTCTACTGGCCAGTATCTCTGAGTAGGATTTTTAAAGCCATAAAGAGTTGGGGTTTTTTTCTCTTAGATGCTGTCATGCCCCAGAGGAGTTGGTTTAGAGATGGAGCTAGTGTGAGGATAGCTACTCACTTTGTTTGGAGATGTGATTTATCTGCAGGACCTAAAATGTTATTATTCCCAGAAGCAGCTTTATTTCTGCTGGGTGTGTGGTCTGGGTTACCTGCAGTTGCACCTTCTCTTCCTAGGGCAGATGAGTGATCAGTAACTGTGGCAGCACAGGTTCATGTGATTATGCTGTTAGTCCTGGAGCTGGATGAAAACAGTTCTTGCTGTCAGTTCAATTCCTCTATCCCTTAAAGCAACAACCAGTTGGGAACTTCAGGATGAAGAGGATTTTGAGAGAAAAGAGTTGGGATGGAAGAGAAAACAAGGGAGAGGTTATAGGAAGGGGAAATTTATCTTTGAACTCTGGCTGTTGCCAGGCTGTGTGTTTGATAAGGTTGTGCCCTGCCCTTGACTTCCATGCAAATATCCCTTTTGATAAAAGTCCTCTGGAATTTGGTGCTTCACAGCAGGAGTTGTGCCAACAGTCCCCTCTTTATTGTTCTCGACTCAGGGTTTATCAGACTCCTTCCCTGGCTGATACCTTGTCTAACCTAAGTCTCAAAGAGGGGATTTGCTGCAGGGTGTGCGCCCCTGGGGTGCACAAACATCAACTGCTCTGGGGGAGCTGCCTCTGGATCCTGCTGTGCCTCTGGCTCCTCTGGAGTGCTGCAGGCAGGGCTGATCTGGGACTGACATGGGCAGTTCAATCTCGTATCCACTGCTCTTGTTTACTTGCAGTCAACAATTGGAGCAGAGCTGGGATTTGTCTGACTAGAGCTGCTCATTCCTCTAAGTTGGCATGGATCTTGTGTCTTCTGCTCTCTGCACCCAGGTTTGACAACTGAACTGTTTTAGTGTCCCTCTTTCCATGGGGGAGCAAACTTTCACTTCTGATTTCTTGTTTCAGCAGCACACAGACTGCATTGCTGCTCTGTGGTGAGTAGGAGAGCACTGGGCTCTGATTTCTGCTGGCTACATCAAGGAACCATGAAGTTGGAAAAGACCTTTAAGACCAAGCACAGCTGTTAACCCAGCTCTGCCAAAGCTCCCACTGAACCACATCCCCAAGGGCTGTATCTACATCTTTCAAATCCCTCCAAGGATGGTGACTCCACCACTTCCCTGGGCATTTTGTTCCAAGGCTCGACAACACTTTCATGGAAAAAGTGTTTCCTAATATCCAATCTTAAACCTCCCCTAGTACAACCTGAGAACATTTCCCCTTGAGCACTGCAAGTATGGTTTTATTTGCTACCACTTAGCACTGAAAGTGCCACCTTCCAAGGGATGCTTTGCTGAGATGAGTCTGGCTGGACTGGTTTTGAAGCTTTCTTTCCTGCCGTGCTATTCAGGACTGACTAAGAGCACTTGCACAGTCTCTCCAATGCATTTCTTTTCCCCAGTACTGAGGTGGGTTTGTGCTGTGTGCAGTGAAGTCAGGGCACACGTGCCTCCAAGGGGAGTCTGCAAGACTTGCCTTAAAGTTGTGGAGGAACAAGTGTGAGTCATTAAACATTTCCCAGCACAAACTGCTCTGGGATGGTGTGTGTTTCTGAGCTTGTTTGGACTCGGATGCCTTAGCAGTGATTAGGACTAAGCTTGGTGGTTGCAAATGCCAGACTCTCCTCATCAGGACGGCAGGATCCCACCTGTAAAACTCACCTCTGGTGTCAGTCTATCCCTGAGGTGCCCAGGCTTGCTTATACTTGACCAGCTGCCAGCTCTTTGCTGATACTGAAGGTACTGAGGTTGCCTTTGTATTGCAGCTGCAAGTTTTAACCCAGCTGAGCTGAGAGGAGCAGTTGGAGATCTGTGAGACTTGTCTGGCCTAAGCTGCAGGGGGATGCTGCAGTTGGTACCTGAGCAGGGCTGGTGGCAGTCTGGCACGTCCAGCTCTCGAGGTGGTAGTTTAGTCACCAGCCCAGCCATTGCAAAACGTGCTGCCAGACACTCTGTGGGGAGGGTGTGTGTGCCAGAGACGTGCTTTGGAGCCAGCTAAGCAGACATACCCCATGGCATCCGAGTGTCTGCTATCTCAGCTGTCCCAGGCACACTCTCCAGGCCAGCTTCTAGCTGAGACCTCCAGCTTTGGCTCACAGCTGAGCCCAGCAGTTGCTGATGGGACAGAAGCATGCCAGGGTCAGGCAGTGTTGCTCTTTCACTCCTGAAAGCACAGATCTTTGTGACAATTGAATTGCAAGACCAAGTTAGTGGGTAAAGAGATGGAGTGAGGCCAGCTGCTGAAGGCTGTAGGCCAGGAAAAAAGCTAGCAGAAGAGATGGACTCTTGTATTTAGAGTTAGTCTTGATCTGCAGAATTTTTGGCATATATCCAGGTAAATACAGTACAAGTGCAGGCAGGAAACTGCTGCCATAATCAGTGTGGTGAACAAAGGTATTTTTCAGGCATAAACTGTTTCCTAATTCGTTGTGTGGCTGTGGCCACAGAGCAGATCCTGGGAGAGGAGGGAATTGTCCCATTCCATCTCACTTGGCCGAAGCATCTCCATTGCTGCAGGGTCTCTGAGGCTCTGGGTTAAAGCACAAAAGCCTTTTAAGTGCTTACTAATGGATTGCTTGTCAGTACAGTTAAATACTGAAGTGTCACCTGAGGGAAAAGTCTGCATTTTGGAGCATTTTAAAATGCTCTTCAGAGTGAGTCTTTGTTTTGTAAGAAAGAAATTTAAAAAGAGAAGGAGGATGACTAATCTTTGTTGCGATGAGTGTTGTAGATTTAATATATGAGAAAAGGAAGGAGTAATTTGAAGAAATAAAAAATTTAAAGTTAAAATTTCATGAATCATTTGAGTTATTTCAGAAGGAAGATTCAAGGAGAAAAAAGAAGAGAGGTGGGAGTCAAAAAAAGTGACTCAGGTGCCATTAATTGAGTCTTGAGTAAATCATTCAACTCTTAGTTGCACATCAGACCTGCCCCAGGGGGCATTGCACAGGCTGGCAAGGTGCCCTTTGCCATCAGGAGTCACAGCCTGTGGTCAGTCATACAGGCTTTGGATATGTGCAGAGTGGTGTGCCCCAGGGCCCTTCAGGGACATCAGAAGGAAGGATAACCCCCGAGAAGGGGAGGATGTAGTTCTGCAGCCTGGCTGGCTCGCTCAGCTTCCTCTTGGGCAGTGCTGTGTTTTGGTGGTGTGTAATGTGGTCCAGTCCTGCTTGGCAGCACAAACTGCTGGGTTCCTCCATTTCTAACGTCCTTTTTCTCTTTCCAGGCGACTTGGTGCTGAGCTGGGAAAATCTGTGGTATACCAGGAAACCAATGGAGGTAAGAGAAATCTCTGCTATTTGCAACTGTTTTGAGCTAATCTTAGAAATGCTGGGTAACTCCATTGGCCAGACCTGTGTAAGAAGTGCAGTGATTCAGCTGTGATGTTACTGCTGCTCCTGGCAGTGCTAAACCTCCATGGCTGACCTTGGACAAAGCAATTAAACATGTTCCTTGTTTTCCCTGGTAATCTTGTTTGTTTGCCTGTCTGCAAACTCTCCTCTAGAGTCCTGCCTCAGGTTTTAGCTGCTGCCAAATCTTTTATGCTCCTATGCCGAGCAAAACATCTCCAGATTTAAAAGTAATGACCTGCTTTTTCAGTGTCTGCTTTGTGAGCTTTTAAATTATCCCTTTCTTTCAGCCCTTCCCTGAAAGGGCCTGCCCTTGCTTTTAAAAGTGCAAACTCATGGCTGTGCTGGGGAAAATGGGTCTTGGAGGTTGCTTTTGTTTTTAAGGAGGTTAACACTCTGCAAGCGTTCATTTTCAGATGCTGAGCTAAAACACAAGGCTATTGGCCAGCAGAATTCTGTGGCCAAGAATCATTTACTGTTTCAAGACCTCCGTTACCTTGTTTGCAAGAGAGAGTAGAACCTACTACTACTAGTGCTAGCTGCTACAGGCTAGAGGAAGGGGAGGAGGATTTGTGCTAGTGCTGCTGCTGTTGCAGCCGGAATGGGCCTCACAATGGGAGAGCTGCTGTGGTTATGGTTGGGCTGGCTGGTGCATTCCTGCCCAGGAGAGCTCGCTGCCCTGTGGGGTTGGTTTTAAATCAGGTTGCTTGCTCCAAGGTCTGAAGTAGTTTTTCATCGCTGCACAGCAAATCAGTCTGCTCTCAGCAGAGCCCTGTAGGGTTACTGCCAGGGCAAGGCAATTAGACTTGGAATTCCATAGCTGAGGAGCTGTTTCTCTCCTTGTCCTTACCCCTGCCCTCTAGCTGATAACTGTGTGGGAAAGGCTAAGGCAGGCACCTTGGGAAACCTGGAGACATTGCTTTGGCTTTGCAGCGCTGCTTGAGGCTCAGCGGCTGCATTTGAGTCAGGGATGTAGGAGTGGTGCTCAGCAGAGACCAAACTTCCAGCCTGTGTCAGTGTTGTAATGTCTTGACCTTGACAGTGAAATTGGGGGGTTCTTACTCTGAACTCAGTGCTGCTGGTGTTGCCTTGAGCTCTCCTGCCAGCATGGAGCTGATCCCATGGTAAGCTGTGAAAGAGCTAAGTGGAAAAAGTGCTGAGTTACCTTCTTGGAAGTACTGAAGGTTATTCTGCCTTGGGTGGTTAATTGCTCACTAACAAATGTGCTGTTGACAGCTCTCAGCACTCCATGGAAGCATGAAAAGGATTTCTCATTGAGAATTAGGTAAATTGTCTTCTAAATTCTAAAATTCTATTTTCTAAAAGTCTAATGTCTAAATTCTAAAATTCTAAATTCTATAAAAAAGTAAACAGCCACATAGCCCGCTTTTGCTTTGTAAATACAGCTAACTCACTGGTATGTCATGCCAGCTCTACCCGGGTCCAGCCTTTGGAAAATCCACTTGGCTCATCTGTGTATGTATGTGCACAAAGGGCAGAGGAGCGAGTCCTCATCTGCCCTGACCAGGGGGCAAGGTTGCTGCTAAAACATGGTGTGTTGTCGCTGTCAACCTGATGTTTGGAAACAAAACTGACTCTGTTTTCCATCCATTTCAGAAACAAGAGTTGAAATAAAAGAGTCTGTCCGTGGACAGGATATCTTCATCATACAGACAATCCCCAGGTGAGGCACTTGCGGCTCAGTTTTGCACCTGGGATGTGCTTTTTGAATACCTGGATCATCAGTGGTTCAGTGGTTGCTCCCTGTAAAACCAGCACAATAACCAGTGGAACTCATGCAGTGTTGTCCTTGCTCTGACTTAGATTAAGGCCTCACACAGTGTTAAGCTGTTAACATTCCCAGGGGATTGATTGCAGCACTGAGATGCTTCCCATCAAATAGCTGGAGTGTGTCACTGGAGGCAAGAACAGGAGTGACTGATGGTTTCCACTGAGACATCCCTGCCCTGTGTGTTGGTGGCCTTTCAGGCTCAGCTGTTGGGTGATTCCTGACTGGTGTTTCCATCCCAGGTTGGGTGATTTCCTCTGCCTCCCAGCCACCAAGCAACAGAGCCAGCATCAAACAGCAGCTGCTGCTTTCACTGCAGGCTGGATTACTCTTCCCTTTTTGCTGTAGTGATGTGAAACAGACCTCAGGTGAAGCCCATAGCCTCCCTCATGTACTTTTACACTTCATCATAATGGTGGGCTTTTTTGGGTTTTATTTTGGGCTGTTCTAGGCTTGGAGTAAGAGAAGTGCTACAGGTAAGCAGGGAACTAGAAAACCATCTGTAATCCCAGGAACCTTGCTCCCTGCTGGCTCAGGACAGCACTAGGGTGATGAGAAGGGAGCCTACAAATAAATGATAACTGCAAACTGACCTCTTGTGAGTAAGGGAGGTGCTGTTTTCAGAGATGAGGTATTGATATCAGCAAAACAAGCATATTCTTACTCCAATAGCTTTTTTCAAGCTCTGCTCAGATTTTGGAGATCACAAGAAGTAATTAATTAGCAGAGCTCAATTGTAGCTTAAAAGTAGCAGGGAGCAGAATTGCCTGGATACAGGAATTTTCCTTGCTTGCCAAGGAAGTAGAGCCCACTGGGAATTCAAGTTCATTTCCTCTGTGAAATGCTTGGCTTGTTGTAAAGAAATCAGGAGGACTACTAGGCCAGCTTACTCGCTTCTGGAATTCCTCTTGCAGGCAGAAACATGTTCCTAGGGCTCATCTTTCTCCAGAGAGATGCCCCAAGAGTTTCCTCCCTCAGGGAGCTACTAAATCTCTTCAAGATGAAAATCCCCTGCTGTAGGATTATGTTTCGGGTGAATGGTGCCATTCTGTTGTCCCTTTGAAGGAGTTCTCTGAAAAAACTTGTAACTGAGAGCTGTGTAAACATGAAACAGATCAAGTGTTCAGAGAGCTAACTCAGGGCATTAGGGACAGGAACAGTTTTGGGAGGGGAAAACCTCCCCTTTGGTTTTAACCTGTTGATCCCCTTGTTTTTCCATTAACTGAATTCAGTGATTTGGGCCAAGAAATTGATCTGTTTTAGACAGAATGTTCAAGGCCCTCCAGGTGAGGAGCCAGTGTTTTGCAGCCAAGTCATCTTTCATTCCTGAACTGCAGCTGTGCCTTGCTGCATTGCTAGAGAGGACAGGTTCAAGGACATCTCTATTTTGCAGTGGGTTTCAGGGAGCTTTTCAGGAGAGTCAAAACAAGAACTATGTAGAATAATCTAAGAATAGGACTTCTACACTCAGTAGTAGTTTGAAAAGAAAATATTAGGACTTGTTAGTAGAGAGGGAAACAATCTTGTTATGCTGCAGTGTGAATTCACAGTCTGCATCTTAAATGCTCAGAGAGAACAGAAAGACCTGAATATGTGATACAGGCTCTCTGTTGTAAAAGCTGTAGCACAACTAAAAAAAAAAAGATGACAAGGACAGTTACCATCCAAGACTGGTGTGTGGACTGGCATTTGTGTGAGGGAAAATCAAATAGCTCATGTTTAGGCAACAGAAAAACAAAGGAATTGGTGATTTTGTGATACCCTAAAGGCAAAAGGAGCCTTTTAGTGCTAAGTGTTGCTGCTGATTTTTCCCAAGTCCATGGAGAGTGTCACATTAGGTGTTTGCTCAGCCTCCAGAGCAGGGGTGTCCAGAGATGGCCCAGGCAGAAATAAGGAGCAGCAAGGGAGGCTCTGGTGTGGTAAGCAGGGTGTGGAGGATAGCTGAGCTGTCTCTGAGTGTCCTGCTTAATGAGCTGCCAGCCCCTGTGTGAGGTCTTGGCTCAGCCCTCCCAGCATAACTAACTGAGCATGGCTTTAGGGCTGGGGATGGGGAGGGCAGCAAGGAGCCTGGGATGCTCTCTTGGGTGCCTGTTTTGGAGATGCTGGGGCTGGGCTTCCTCACCAATGTCATTTTCCCCAGCTGGTACTCTTGGTTGGGGTCAGTGCCCCTTGCAGAGGAGCAGGTCAGTGATGGCTCAGCATGAAGCCATCTCAGCCCACCCACCCTGGGCCCTGCTGGAGGGGGACACACATCCACCTCTGCCTAGTGCCTGTGCCTGCTGGGCTGCAGGAGCTTCCCAGAGTCCAGCTTGTGATCCTGCTTGAATTCTGGGAGAAGTACCCTCCTTGAATAGCTTCTCCATCAGTATGGCTACTAGGATGTCCTGCAACAGCACCAGGACTGCTGGTGCCTTTTGAAGTCCCAGTCTTGTTCTCTGCCTGCTTTCCATGTGAATATGTATGTATTTGCAAAACGTTGAAAAATAATGATGAAAAATACTGTTTCTCAGATGAACTTTAAATGGGCTTCATTTGGACCACTTTGTTTTTATATGACACTGATAGTAGCATCTTTTTCTTCTGTCACAGCCCCACTGGCACAGCTAAATCACCAAAGGGAAGAAACAGTTCTTTGTTGTCCTGTGTGGCAGGGGCCTGTGTTTTATGTAATTCTTGGCTGGGTGCTCCAGAGCCAACAAAGCTTTCTTGTGTGTAAATGGCATTGTGTGCACAGGCTGCTGGGGCCAGCAGGACAGCAGAGACCCAGAGCCTCACAAAAGAAGAGGCACAAGTAGAGGTTAATTCCAAAGGAAGGGAGAGCAGAGGGGAAATAGAAATGGTCAGAGGTTTGTCATGGGTCGTGTCTCTGGGCATTTGGAGAAGCTGTCTCTAGTGGCTGTCTCAGGAGGAAAACAGGGCCTGAGCAATGACTGGGTAATGTCCAGAAGGCTCTGCAGAGCTTTAGGCTGCTCTGTTTACTCCTCTGCTGCTGTGTGGAAAGATGGCCCAGTCAGCCCCTGCCCTGTCACCGTGGGCAGGGCTGGAAGCCCCCAGGTAAGGGGTCCACATGTGTTGCAGGAGTGCCTGTCCTGCCATCTGAAGCATGTGCTCTTCACTTCCCAGAAGTTCTTGAGTCAGTCTGTGGTGATGCAGACAGTGTCTCTCAGTGTTGTTCTTAAGAACTAAAGGGGAACTAAGGGCTTAGCTTCTTTCCCCATCTCAAAATTAATTAAAATGCAGGTTAATATGCTCCAGTCATCATGGGAGAGCATATATTGTGAGGGATATTTCAGTCTCATGACCAGTGACAGGACTGGAGGAAACAGCATGAAGCTGAGTCAGGGGGGTTTAGATTGATATCAGGAAAAGGTTTTTCACCCAGAGAGCTGTTGAGCACTGGAACAGGCTTCCCAGGGAAGTGGTCACAGCACCAAACCTGTCTGAGCTCAAGAAGCATTTGGGCAACACTCTCAGGGACAGGTTGGGATTGTTGGGGTGTCCTGTGCAGGATTAGGAATTGTACTCACAATCCTGATGGGGCCCTTCAAACTCAGCATATTCTATGATTCCTCTGCCTATGTTACTTTTTTGTTTGGTTGTTTTTTCTTTCAAGAAACAGTCCTGTAGCATTTCCTGTGCTGTTGTTCCTTCCATCTCTAGATAACCTGAGTGTGGAGATGCTGATGTTCACCAAAGAGCTATTTCTGGAGCTTGTACTGCTCCAATTACAGTATTTCTTAAAGCAGGAAAAAGAACACTGTTAAAGAGGAAAATACCCTAAGAAATCCAGTGTGGATGAAGTTATGTTGGCTGCATGTATACTGCTTCTTTAAAAGACTATTTTATTTCAAATTACACTGTATCAAGTGACATTTGTTCCAAGGTGAATTCTATACAAAGCTTTTTTGTTGTGTTATGGAGGGAAATCATCATATACCTTATGTTAGAATATAAAATCAAATTCCAGTCCACAGCTCTTGAGTGCTGGTGTTGTGTCCTGTACATGTAAGAGTGGATTGTAATTTGCTGTGGCGTGGTGGAAGGAGCTGTATGCTGCAATCTGGCTCTGGCATACATTAGCCTGAGATGTAGCATGATTCCCTTGGAATTTTGGTGAGGGGTGGTCTGGGTATAAATGGAAAAGGAGTTGCACTGGAAAAATACCTGCTAATATTTAGAATTGTGTTCAAATCTCCTAGAGATGTGAATACTGCTGTCATGGAGCTGCTGATCATGGCCTATGCACTGAAGACTTCCTGTGCCAGGAACATCATTGGGGTCATCCCCTACTTCCCCTACAGCAAACAGAGCAAAATGAGGAAGAGGGGCTCCATAGTCTGCAAGCTGCTGGCTTCAATGCTTGCCAAGGCAGGTGAGTATCCCAGGGAGCAGCAGCACTGCAGGCTTGGTGCTGCTGGGTGTCCCAGAGGTCATCTGTCCTTCCATTCTCCTGTTTGATGTGGGGATGTGTTGCTGAGATCTTGAGCCACATTGTGGGAATTAATTTTCTTCAGCTTTCTTTGTAACTTGCACCTGGGGAAGTGACCTAGAAATGTTATAGTGGAGTACAGTGTCAGCCCAGTGCTGTGGCATCACATGCCTGTTTCTCATTATGTCTGTGGAACTTTGTGTTAATCTGTTTATGATTATTTTATGACATGGCATAATAGTCTGAGTAATAGCTAAAACAGTCTGGAAAATGGAGGTGTTGAAGGAAAGTCACATGGGAATATTTTCAATAAATTGTTGTCTTTTTTCCCCCCTTAGGTTTAACACACATTATCACTATGGACCTTCATCAAAAGGAAATCCAAGGCTTCTTCAGCTTTCCAGTAGACAACCTGAGAGCATCCCCTTTCTTGCTTCAGTATATACAGGAAGAAGTGAGGTTACTCTAGTTCTATGTAAATCAACTTGTCTGAACTCATTTTAATGTGATGGCAGCATTGGGCCTCTGCTTAAGTAGAGGTGGTGGTGTCAGTCCAGGTCAATCCTTCTGTTAATTAATTCTTTCTTAGGGGGTACATATTGCATGTTTCTTGATGTTACACTTCTCTGATTGGATAGGAACTGAACTGCAGCACAAGCAGGTGAGGAGCTTGCTCTCTGTGGAGTTAGTGCCATTTAAGAGATGCTACTTTTGCTCCTGCCTCTAATCACCTCTGAAATCCTGTTAAACTGCTCCCCTTCTCCCTTTGTGCTGTGTTGGATTTCTGACTGCTCTGAATTATTGATAGACTTTGTCTTGGGCTGAGTGTAAGAGTGCTGAGCACAGCAGGACTGGGAGCAGGGCACGGAGGTTTTATTCTCCATGTGCAAAAGATGATGATTTATTCCCACATGGTGAGAGCAAGGCTTCCCATATGGGGAGGGTTAAACTTAGTGAACATTCCCACCTTTGCAGAATACACAAATACTGGTGTTGGAAGCAAGTGCAGTTGCCTCTCTAGTTTCTTGTCACAGAATGAAAATTTGGTTCTGGGGAGGTGGATGGGTGAAATTATTCAGCCATGTATCAAACCAGTTACTCCCTAGCAAGAATGTCTTTTTTTAATTAATTAACTTTTTATCACATCCAGATTCCAGATTACAGAAACGCAGTTATTGTAGCCAAATCTCCTGGTGCTGCTAAAAGGTAAATGGATGCTTATTATCTGATTAAAAGTTGCTTGGAAAATACCTGAGCTGGTGGAAGATATACCAGGGAAAGTATGGGAGGGTGACAGATGGATTGACAATCTGGTCATAATTCTTTTGTGGCTGGAAATGGGATGGATGTGGTGCAGAATAGAGCTGAACTTTGTATTCCCATCCCTATGGGCATAAACTGGCAGTCTCACTGAAATGGTTCTCCTGGGGTCAGACTTGCTGCTGGAGTTTCAGCAGTGCCTGACCATCTCAAAAAGCATTTCCAGTGTGGAGGAGCACAGAAGAGCCTATGGTGGAGCCAAGGGGTAGAGTGGGCTTTGGGATACTGATGAGGAATGAAGAGTCACTTCCAGTGAGGTTTCTTGCAGAGAAACAGCCACAGAGGTGCAGTCTTTGCTTGCTGTTGGTGTGGGAGAGCCTGGCTGCAGTGGGCTGTGGAGCTGCACCAGTGATCCCAGCAGCTCCTGAGAGGCTGTTTTTGTCTTGCAGGGCTCAGTCTTACGCTGAGAGGCTGCGCCTGGGGCTGGCAGTGATCCATGGAGAGGCTCAGTGCACGGAGCAGGACATGGATGACGGGCGTCACTCCCCTCCCATGCTCAAAAATGCAACTGTGCATCCTGGCCTGGAGCTGCCATGTAAGATCAAGTTTCTCTGCTTACCTTTGAGGGGAGAAAAAAGAGAAAAGTTTGGGAGATTTCTTTTGGTTTATCTGTGTGGGTGTAACCAACCTAAAGGTAGTTAGACCAGTGGAATTTTTGGGTTGATATCTGTGAGTTGTGGGACAAGTCACAGGGGAAGGTTTTTATTTAACTCCTTCTGGCCATGCAGAGCATCAGTATTGTCTCCTTGGCTGTGCCTGCTCCATAGTGTTACACTGACAAACCTCTGATAAAGGTGATGCTTTTACAGTGTTCAGCAACAGAATTCCTTGAGCTGATGAAACAAGGGAGATGTAAAAGTGCAAGTAATGGGATAACAGCCACTGAGACAGACTGTTGGCTCCATTGGTGTAGGGGAGAGCTGGTCTTTGTCTCCCTTCTCTGCAGCCATAATTACTGCTGGAAATTTTCTTCACCTTGGCACCCAGATGATCATATTCCAATGTCTGCTTTGACAAGATTTTGAGGTTTATGTGGCTGGGGTGAATAGGTTCTCCAAGAGCATTGTTGACCTGCTTCTGGAGCTCTTGCCATTGATTTGGGAGCAGAGAGGACAAGAAAAGGAGGAGACTTGTATTCTGGGAATTGCCATGCTTAGGATTGCTTGTATTCCTGCAGCAGTCAAAGAACAACATTGCAATCAAAATCCAGCTTTTTGGGAGGATTTTAGCTTTCTAGGCAGGTGGTGGCAGGACAGAAATTGGGAGCAGGAAGGTGTCTGAGAAGTGCCCAGGGGAAAGGCTGTGTGCTGCTGTGTGTGGCAACACCAGCAGTGGTTTGGGCTACTGATAATCATCTAATCTTTGGAAATTTAGGAAGAACATCCAACCAGTTTGTGGGCAGCTTGTGGAGGGGAGGCAAGTAAGACTGCAGGCATTGTATATCACCCCAGTTGTGTCTCACTGCAATACAATCAGTTATACAGTGCTTTTGTTGCTGGTGAAATTCCTCTTGGGCATTGGTGGGCAGGTGGGGTTTGGCAATGAAGTTTGGGACGTTATTGTTCTTCTGACAAGTGTTTTTTTTCCATGCCTGTCCAAGGAAGCAGGAATTTGCATGGTTATTCTTCACTTTCTCCTCCCCTTCCTATTCTGGAGGATGCTGTCCCCCAGAATATCAGTAGCTGACATTTGTCTGCTACAGAAGAATTGATGTGATTGTGTTTTTATTTCCAGCCATGTCACTTCAAAGAAGCTCAATTGTGGAAGGTTGTTCTGCTGGAGAACCCTATAAATGGTTGTTCATACAGAAATATGCCCTTACCCAGTTTAGTTATGAATCCAATGGAAAATTGTTTTCAGTCCTCAGCTATCCAAACACAAACTAATTTGATGTGTATCACCACTTCCTTATTTTATTTCCTGCTGCACAAACTCAGCACTTGACCAATGACCTTCCATCCCTGCATGCCTAAGGCACAGTGTAAAACAGTTGAGCTGTGGCTTGGCAGCTCTCTGCCATGGGGTGGCTTGTGGGGCAGATTTGTCCAAAACTCTCAGTAGAAGCTGCCTTTCTCTGCAGTTTTCTCACCTGATTTTGAGTGAGCTGGGTTCTGAAGGTGCAGAATTGAGGTTATCCCTATCTAAAAGCAGTCTGTACATTCTGGTTGTGTCACAGTCTCTTGCCAGACAGAGGTGAAAGTGCAGCTGAGATGGCAACACCGTGAGTGTGCTGTGCCTCATTTCTTGTCCAATTCAGTCACTTGAAAAGCATCTTCCAACCTCAAATGTCACGTATTTCCACACCCTCATTCAGCTCTCCCTTCCTGGTGGTGAAAACTCTGAGGGCAGAGTGTAGCAGGGTTCAGCTGTGTGGTTGATTGTGAAAGGTCAGACATGTGCTGCTGCTCAGAACTGGATATTCCTTACACCAGAACTGTCCCCAAACCCTCCAATTGCCAAAACAGAAGTGATCTGTGAATCTGCCTGGCTCAGCAAGCAAACCTGGGCCTGGCAGGTTGGAGGCTGGGGCTGTTCCTGGGGAGTGGCTGAGACTTCTTATGGAGCATCCCACTCTGGGCTACAACCAGATCAGTGTGGAGCATCCCAGATTTGGCATTTGAAGCTCCAGACAGCTGTGTTAGAGCCAGGAGAGAGTGAAACCTGTGTTGGGGGCAGCCCCAGAGCCATGGCTCGTGCTCTGTGCCATTCTCCATGGGCTTCCTGGGGAATTGGCTGGGCTCCTGTGTCCTGGCATGCACCTTCTCCCCCTGTTCTAGCAGGGATCATGTGCCTCTAATTAATGAGTGCTAGGCAGTGTAATGGTTTATTTATTGTCCTATGAGTGTGGCCTGATGTGATATTCTGATTCGTAGGGAGCCACAACAGAAAAATGCCAGAGGTGCTTCTAATTGCACTTAAAATGCTGCACTGGAGTGGCAGCAAGAGCCCACAGCACTGCAGCCCCTGAAATCAGAGCCTTGGAGACAGGAATCACTCCAAGGTTATTCCCTTTGATTGTGTGCTTTTGTGTCTCAGAGCTTGCAGCTGGCTTGGGGTTGTGCCTTAACAAATGCATGGGGACTCTTTGCCTGTTTCCTGGAGAAAAAGAGTGAAGCACCATCTGTTAAATCATTTCAGTGGCTTTGGAATTCAGTACTTTGTACAGAGAGCTAATGGTCTGCTTGAATCCCAGAGCCCAGCAAACTGCCACAGAAGGAGTTTGGGGGAGAAACTGGAGTGACCATGGGTCTGTTCCTACTTCCCTACACCCATCTTGCCTGTGTTTAGGCTGGGCACAGGGGTGTTTTCTGTCCTTCCAAGGTTATCTCTACACTAAACAGTTCATTCTTGAGCAGCCTTTTGCTCCCAGGCTCTGTGATAAATGCAGCATTATATTTCTTGGTGATTGTCACTTTAATTTGCACTGTCAGCTCCAAACAGGATTTATTTTAGTATTTCTTAACTCATTTTTGACCACTTAATTAAAGCAACATGTTCTTTCTTAGTGCCAGTGATCCTGCCTTTAACATGTGGTACTTTGGTGTATATTATGCACATCTGAATGAAAGAATTCTTTGGTATTCTTGTTTTATAAAAAAATGGTGGTTGGTCTAGTTTTTTCTCTTTTATTTTTTTGTTCTCAGAAGCTACAGATACCACAAGCATCTTTTCTTTCTCTCCTGAAAAAGTCAGCAAGTCTTCAAACCAAACTTGTACATGATCCAAGGGGTTACACCATGCAAAGTACCACCATGGCTTATTTCTGTTACCCTCTTCTGTCTGCAAACACAGAGGGTTTGTGTCTGGGAGGAAAATATTCTTTTATTATTTGAATCATTTTTCAAGGCACCTCCTCATAGCAGTTCTGACTTGCACATCTTGATATGTTCAAAGATTTTGAAGAAGAAGCTGCCTGCACTAACCCTTGTGTAGACTCTCATCACCTTGGAGCAGTTGAGATTTGATGTGGTTGTGGGTAGATCTTTGGCTTGCAATTTTTTTTTTCTTTTTTTTGCAGAGAAAATTGAACAAGGAAAAGGGAGAACATCTCTTTAAGATCCGGGTAGGTCGACACGTTGCCTACCATTCTTTAAAAATAAACCAAAATTGAAATACAGCTTTTAAAAAACAGAGAGAGATGCAAAGCACTGCTAATGTTGCTGGTTGCCATGTTAGCCTTTAAGCACAGCAAGCAATGTGTCTGCTTCCTTCATGGAGTAGAAGGATGCTGACTTGCTGAAACTCCATATCTCTGTGAGTAAAATAGTGCTGAATTTCAACTCCCCAGGCCTGTTCACCATTTGTGTAGAAAAGTTTCCCCTGACCTGGCTGTTGTAAACAGAGATGGCACTCATCAGTGGATACACACAGAGGCTGGGATGGCAGCCAGGTGGAATCCTTTTGATACTTCACAGCTCCCACCAGGAGCTCTGTTACTGTCCAGACTAGATAGTGAACTCATAACTAATCTGAGCAGGTCAGTAGTGCCTGTAACTGAAATTTATGATCTGCTTATTTCTCGTGGTGCTTAATCTTCATTTATTACAAATAATCTTCCTTCTCATAAGAATATTTTTCCTTCAGGATTTAGATGTGACTTTGCTTTTGATAGGAGACTCAGAAATAACCATGCAAGGGAGGCTGAGGAATCTGTGCCATGAAGAGCTGTTGATTAACTCTTCAGTCCAAGGTAGCTGTGACTTGAACTGCAAAAACCTGGCAATGACTGATGGGACTTTGGGCAAAACAGAATTACTGGACACCTTTTATACAGTTTTGGTAGGTTTATGGAAAACCAGCCTGGAGTAGATCATGGATGTGAAGAACAGCTCTACACAAGAATCTTGGAAATTGTGGTGCTTACAATTGCTTTCATCATATCCCTCAGTGTGAGTCATTCACCCAGCTGTGCTTGCACTCTAAGCATTCCCAGGCACTGATGAGATATGGGAATAGTACTGGATCATCCTGCTGTGCAGGATGGGGAGTTGGATGTAAGACTCTTTTGGTGAGGAGAGCAGAGATCAATATTTAGACAGGCTTTTTGGTGGGCAATGACTTGTGTTCTCCTGCTGCTCAGGTATTACACTGAAGTGGATTATCCTAAAAGAGAAAAATCTTGCTTTGTCTGAGCTCTTTGAGGCACTTGAGAAGCCTCTGTGGCCAGAATCCTGGCAAGACCTGAGCTTATAAAAGGAGGGGCACCAAGTGCCTTGGTAGGACACTGTGCACTCACTGTGGAGAGTTTAAAATAGGAGTATGGGGTGTGGAGGTGGGCCAGGTAAGTTTTACAAAATCTGGAGGTGCCTCTTGGCTTCAGTGGTTAGATGAGCCCAAATTGTCACCTATTGACACACGTTTGCCCACCACAGTGTCCTTTCCATGCTGGAGGTTTTTGTACCAGCACCCCATGGCAGGTGAGAGCTTTGGCAGATGGACAGCAAGTCCCTGGCCTGTACTGGAGGTTGGTTGCTGTTTGGTGTAAGTGTGAGGGCTGTGTTACATCTGGACACTCTCAGTGCATCTTAGTTCAGATTTCTGGTATTTTTATGATGCTGCTGGAATTTTGGCAGGATGTGGTTTTTGCATGAACCCTGTCAGTGCAAAAGTAGTGTCAGGAGAGGTGGAACCTTATTTCCCAGTACATCTCTTCACTGTATGCCAGGTAGCACAGCTTGTCAGTGTATCCTTTGATCCAGTTGCTGGTTGCACTGAGCTTGTTAAACTGAGTTTCAACTGGATTTTTTCCTACTCTTTCCATTAATCCACTTTAAAAATAATCAGCAAATTTGCTTCTGCAAACTTCCTTAAGCTTTCTTTGCCTGAGCAGGTGGTATTAAGGTTCTTACACCCTCTCAAAGACCCCTCTGTGTTTGGTGATGTGAGAAAGCAAATGAGCTGCAGTGCACGTCTCTGGTCCTACAGATGATTTACTGAGTCTAAGAGGTGAAAAGCTGCACCTTGTAAAGCACCTGCCCTTTGAGAGGTGCTGCTTGGGAAAGCTCATTTGTTGTTCCCACTCATGGAATGGACCCATTTTCAAGTCCTGTGCTGGAGCACAGAGAAGGTCACTGATATTTCCCATAAACCAGGTGCTGCTTTGTAACTCTCCTTGCACAAGGGTCTGTTAGAGAGTTGGAATTGCTTTCTGTTTCTGAGGTCAGTACAAAATCCTCACAGAAACAGATTTTCCTCTTTATGCAGCAGTGCTATTCATCTGAGGAGAAAAACAATGATTAAATGAAAGTTTCTCACTTAGGTGGGTGTCAGGATCATGTAAAGCACGCCTGTGTCTGCATCAGTGTAAGATGTTTAATGGTTCAGCCTCTTGTCTGGTGGAACTGTTGGGGTTTGACTCAAACCTGAGTCACCTGGATTCTTTTTTTCCCTTCTTCTTTAGTGATGATGGCCAAGGAGAAACCGCCAATAACTGTGGTTGGAGACGTTGGAGGAAGGATTGCCATCATTGTGGTATGAGTGTGAGGGGAACGGGTGGGGGGTGGCTTCCTCACAGCATCTTTGCTTCAGCTGCCCTCTCCCTGAGGGTCAGAGGGATGGCTGGTATAGGAGTGGGAACGTGGTTTTTAGACGCTCTTTTCTCCAGTAGTGCTGGTGGCTTTGGTATTTCAACTTTCTGTTGGAAACCAATTGCACTTAAGTTCTTTAAGCCCTAAAATGTTCTTGCTGCCTTGATTCTAAGTGTCAGATGTCTGCAAGTAATGAATAACTCCAGGGCACACAGAGAGCTCCTGAAGTGTTAAAAAACCCCAAACAAAAAGCTTGCCAAGCCTCTCTTACTTGCTATGCCATGCTGCAGTGTAAGTAATCAACATGCAGCTCCTGCCCCATGGAAAAATAGGCCTTGCTGATGATAAACTGCAAGTGCATGTGCAGAGACTGATTTGTTTCCAAGACACAGCATTTGTTCTCCACACTAGCAAAAGGGTCATTAAACCAGGGAAATAGCATTCACAGATTAGTCATGCACGTGGCTGTCCTCATCAGCAGCTGAAGTAGACAGGGATTCTATTTTTCATCTGTGTGCATGGCCAAAGCTGCAGTAGCCTGCAGATCCACTCCTGCCCTGCAGGCTCTGTAAACTTCTGGCTTTGATGTTATTTCTGTTTCTGCTCAGGATGACATCATTGATGATGTGGAAAGCTTTGTAGCTGCTGCAGAGATCCTGAAAGAGCGTGGAGCCTACAAGATTTTTGTGATGGCTACTCATGGGCTCCTGTCAGCAGATGCCCCTCGTCTCATAGAGGAATCCTCCATTGATGAGGTGAGTCTGCTCTCCACACTGCAGAGTGGGGGCTGGCACCAAAACTCACTAATTAATGTCCTTCCCAAGGCACGTAGCTCATGTCTGGAATTACTCATTTAATCAGGTGCTTTAGTTAGCTGGTTCTTCACTGGAACAAAAAAAAGTGTTTGTGATTAATCCTTGCTCACATCAGATCTGCTTCCCTAGTGTATTTTCTCCCTAAAAAAATATTAGTCATCCCTGCCTGGAGATTTCCCTCCCTGCAGCTGGGGCTGTGTGGTGCCATCTGACTGTGCAGCCCCTCTCCCCTGGCTGATCAGGGGCTGCTGGTAGATGAAGAGGACAGGATTTCAAACCTTAATAATAGATCCCCTGATCTGAGTGGACCCATAGCCTGCTGGAGAGTGCTGGTTATGCTGGTCCCCTCAACAGACTGTCACAGAGGGGAGATCATTTATTTTAATCTTTTTTTCCTAATATGCAGGGAGTTCTCCCCCTGAACTGTGAAACAGCAGTACACACCCCTGCTGGAGTCAGTCCAGGGTGGATGAACATTCCAGCAGCACAACTGTCCTTTCCTTTTTGGCCCTCCCTAGGTGGTAGTGACCAACACTGTTCCTCACGAGGTGCAGAAGCTGCAGTGCCCCAAGATAAAGACTGTGGATATCAGTTTGATCCTGTCGGAAGCCATCCGGCGAATCCACAACGGCGAGTCCATGGCCTATCTCTTCCGCAACATCACCGTCGATGACTAAACCTGAGCCTGCCCCTCTCCTGGATTCCACAAGAGAAGGAAATCTGCATGGAAAGGCAATACCATAAAACATAGGCATAACACAGCTGTTTATTTTTGTAGGAGTGTTGAGGTTTTCAGGGTCTTGAGCCATGAGATCTAATAGAAAAAAAATCAACCTGACCAGCACTTTACAAGTCAATAGAAGGGGGCCACTGGCAGTGGGGGGAATTACACCTTGATTGAGAGAGATGGAAAAATGAGGTGGTGTTGAATTTTTAAGTTCCTTTAATGATTTTTTTTTAGTGTGTTTTCTCTTGCCCTGTAGGGGCAGAAAGAAAAGCTAAACAGAATTAGCTGTCAGCCTGTGAGAAGGGAACAGGGACTGCTCATTGCTGTGTGGGCAGCGAGAGCAGCCTTTGGGGTTGTTTCTGGCTGTGTCTCACCCCAGAGCATGGAAGGGAATGTTCAGGCTGTGCTGCTGGCAGAGCTGAGCCAACAGCAGCTCCGTGCCAGCTCAGTGGCCTCTCCTCTCCTGCACAGCAGAGCAGGGACTTTCATCAAAACTAAGTTAGCGGAACATCCCAAAAGGACAGCTTAGGGCAGCCCATTGGCAGGGCTGCTCCCATCCCTGGGTCAGGGAGCTGGGAACAGGCTCGTGTGTGTGTCCCAGCAGAGCAGGGAATGCTAGTTAATGTGTTGGCCTTTTCATTTTGGGAGCTTTGGATCATTATTGCTCTTCAGTGACGAATCACGGGAGGGTCTTGGTCCTCTCTGGAACACTTGTCTGCACTGCAAAACCAGGCGTGATTTTTGGAGTTGCCTGGGGCTGAGTTTGTGGCAGAGTCTTGTGGGGAAGGGAAGTTGGAACAATATCTGCTTCTAATGCAGCTGTGCTCTCCAAAACACTAACACTGAACCTGCAATAAAAAGTATAAGATTTTTCAGCTTTGGTGCTTCCTATGAATCCTGTGCCCTCTGAGGAGCTGCTGTGTCTATTCAGTGGGGCTGTTGCTGTAACAAGGCTCACTTGGCAGCTTGTAGCCTTCTTCCATGGGGAAGTAGGACTGGCTGATCACTCCTGTCTTGAGTGATACTAAATTTTGGGTGGAGGGGACACTTGAGGAAGCAGCACAAGATGCATGTGGAGGGCTTTGTCTCCAGGATGATAGAAGGATAAACTCCCAAACTGATCATTCCCCTTGATGAGACAAGCACACTCCAGAAAAAAACCTACACCACTGGTCTGCTGATGTGAAGAACAAATAAAAGCTGCTGGAAGCAGTTGCTTCAACAGCACAGGAAATGTTTAGTTGTTTAGTTTTGGTTATCTTTATTCTACACTCTTCTTTTTCCACTCCAACATATAAAACATGCCAAGGGGCACAGTGACTGAGCAGGACAAGCCTTTAATACCAGGGAAACAAACTCAGCATGGAGTGCTTGGACCACCTTCAGTATCCAGCATGGATTAAACCTCCACGCCAAACTCCATGAGGGATGTGCAGAGCTGAATGATGTAGCAAAGCTATTAATGGTTTTTCCTGCACTTTCCAAGTACCACAAACAAATCTCAGCTGTACTCTGTGACCACAGCCTGGCTCCTTGGCCTGGAGGGGTAACATAAAGCTGTACTGCAAGTATTGAACAACTCAGCTGGAGCTGTGGAGTCCTTGCAAATGTCTGTGCCCCCTTTCTTCTGAGCCAGTGCTGCACAATGTTCTTCATCCTGGAAGTCAGTGTTAAAGGTGTGAGCAGTATTGCTGTTCTCTCCCCTTCAAAGTGCTTGTCAGTCCTGCCAGGAGCAAGGCTGTGGCTCATTGAGGGTTGTTGCCCCATTCAGGCTTGCTTTTGCTGGGCTGTGTTTGGGTAGGAACCACAGAATCACAGCACCACTGAGCAGAGGGTTGTGCCTGTGTGCCCTCATTGCCATGAGTGAATGCTTTATGGCTGCTTAAAGAATCACCAGCAAAGGTATCAGCAGAAGCAGGTTTAGTATAGAAGTGAAAGTTCCCCAAAGTTGTTGGCACGGTTCACTCTACTACTTACTATGTGGTAAAAGAAACGTAAATTTAAAACCAATCAATCTAAAGCCAAAATCAATCCAAAAATTACCTACATTGTGGCTGGGGAAGGGGGAAGGAGAAGGGCAAGGATAAAAAGGAAACACAAGATGAGTCACAAGGTTCAGAGTAGACCTCCTTGCAAAACTGAGCTCCAGACTTGTCCAAGAGTTTAGTCCCAAAGCACTTAACAGCAGTTAACAGGATAAACTGTGAAGCTATTGCTTATGCTGAAGTTAAATAATTAAACAACTTCATCAGCATTTATTTAAAAATCTAAAGTACTTAAGGATCTAGGAGACCAGCATCCATAATATATTCGCTGTAGTGCATTCCCACCCGCAGACCTGAAGGAGCTTGTACAAGGTACTCTGAAAAATTCCCCTCAAGCTCCTGGAAATACATCAGATGTCTTTGCATCTTCTCAACAGGCAAAGAGTGGAGCCTTGAGGAATGGCTGTAATTTCTTTCCATCCTGGCCACAATTCAGGTCAGCAGCTTTCTTTGAAAGTTCGATAATAAAAATGTTGTTCCGCTTGGGTTGTTATTCAGGCAAGAAAAATAGTTTTCCAAGGCTGTTTGTTAAAAATCAGGAGCTTGTTAAGCAGCAGAAGTTCTGGGAGCAGACAGTGTTTCTGATAAGATTGAGAGTTGCTCAGCCCAGGTGCTGTTCTCGAGGCCAAGGCCTAACAAGCATTTCTGAGATAATAGTGCAGCTCAAGAGCTGGGGGAAGGCACCACCAGAATCCACCCCGTGACTAAAGACAGCTTGTATTGCTCCACAGAGTGGCATGTGCTCACCTCTTGCCTCTGTGCCTATAAACAGGGATTTATTATGTCCAACTTGAAAATTGTGAGAAATTTTTGATCAGGTTAGCAAAATACTGTGATTTTTAAGACTGTTGGATGTGAGGGAACAGTATTATGTATGCAAGGACCTCTGTGGGACAGTGCTACCTGTCTAGCTAATATAAACACTCCAACATATAGAACACTGCAGTACATTAAGCATAAAATGACAGAAATCAGCAAAATTACAACAGAATGTGATGTTAGATCTGGAATTCCTGTTGCAGTGGGTGACCACCCAAACACTATCCCACCAGTGATGTTCTCTGTTTCTCATCACGTTGTATCCCTTCTGTATTTGATTAATAGTGATTAGAGCTGTGTCCATTGCTTCCTTCCAGCAGCCAGCACAACTCTTTGTGCTGCAGTAGTTTTTCCACCAGTGCAAGGTTCATTCCAGTGGGGGTGAGCAGGAAATCTTGCTGGGATGTGTAGATAGATTGTAGCAGCAATTCATGGGTTGTGACAGAACTGAATAGTTGAAATCACATCCTCTTAATTTTGGAGAAAACTACAAATGCAAATGTTTGAGTGATGGCTTATTTCTATAGTGGTGTGGTCTTTTTGGAATCACAAATTGTTCTTACTTTCCCAATGTATACAAGTACAGTTTCAAGCATTTCAGCAGGACATATTTCAAAATGAGAAGCATTTTCTTCAGTACCAAGACAAATGTCTTGGACATTAGTATTGGTGTTACTTCCACAAATAAATCCCTGTTGTTCCTGTACAACACACACATCAACAGTGACTGCTTGCCATTTGTTCCCATTTTGTTGGGCACATACTCTGTGTTGCATTGGAAATAATTCCAGGGTGATTTAACCCCAGTGCAGTGGTTGGATGTATGGGGTTTACCAAAGCACTGTGTATTGTTAAAGCAAAAGCTGTGGCTTTGCTGTTGGTAAGGTCAGAAGTGAAGTTAACCAGATGCCACCAAGGTTGAACTTCTCATTAAAATTTGTTTGCATTTTCCTTGATCACCTTTTACATTTCAGTGTCAGGGCTCCAGAGCTTTCCTTCACAGTTGCTGCTGCAGTGAGTTACTGAGCTTGGGTGCAGCTGTAGGCAGGGAGACACGCAGGCTCCAGAACGAGGAGGAGAGCAAAGAGGAAGGAGCCTGTTGGCTGTGCCCATCTTGGTCTATCTCCTGCCACCACCTCCCAGGTGGGAAGCTTGGGCACTTACCTGTGGGGATCTGCCTGCCCAGGAGAGCAGGGAACCACTGCAGGGAATTGTGAGGGGCCCCTGTGGTTCCCAGCCCATCAGACATGGAGAAGATACCAAGAAAGTGGAAGCCAGTGAAAGAGACATCACCAAGGCAGGAGTTCTTCCCAGCCCCTCTGGATGCTCCCCCTGAGCCACCGCCTCCTCTGGGGTCTGCATCTCTCATGCTTTTCCCTGGACACCCTGTGGATTAAACTTCCTCAAGGAACAGCCCACAGATTAAGTTTATTTCAACAGCGTGTGGATTAAAATTCTCTGAACAACACGTGGCAACTTTCTTGAACAGCCCACAAATTAAACTTTCCTGATGAAAAGAGCGTGGATTACACAACTACCCCAATGAACAGCTCATGAGTTAAATTTCCCTGAAGTACATGTGGAAACAGCGATTTCTTAACAGCCCGTGGCAGCCACAGTTTAAACTTGTAAGGAGAGGGAGAAAGGAAGGAAGAAAGGAACGAAAATGGAGACAGAGGAAGAACTTGTGTCACCAGCCCAGGTTCCAGCACTGTCCCTGGTCTGCTCCCTCGGGATGGGGAGTGCTCCCAGAGCCCTTGTTCATTGTGGAATTTATGGACTGGTCCTTGCACAGCCTCGTTTTGTTATTGAACTTCTAGAACAGGGTTGGGGGTTCCTGTGGGACTCATCCCCCATCAGATGCAAGTGAAATGCAGTCTCAAACTTGTTCTTTGAGATAGTTTCCCAAGGTAGGAACTTGGTTCCAGAAAAGTGCTATCCTGCCTCCAAAAACCCCCTTTTCCAACTGAACCTTCTCTCATTATTGTGGTAATATTCCTTTTCTCTTCTGCCTAGTCTTTGAACATTAGCTCTTTGAGGTTTGCACTAACTCTTTCAGGTTTTCAGTCTCTCACAGTTATCCCTTTGCCACAATGGCATTCCATTAACTTCCCACTGGTTCAGTTTCCAAAAGGAAAGCTGTTCAGTACATCCTTTAAATACAGCGTGAGGTGCTGGAACTGCCATGCAAGTCCTTCATCCGACCCCAGAGAGTGCCTGCCCACTTGTCAAGGGTCACTGGTCCCCTCCGTGGCCCTTCTCACCTCCCCAGGGAGCCAGGCTGTGTCCCTGGAGTCCCCTGGCTGCTCCTGAGCCCAGGCTGTGTTCCCAAAGCCTTCGAGTGGGAGGCTTGGCAGGGGCAGCCTGGCTGCTGCTGCCCTCCTGGGAAGAGCAGGCAAAGGGTGAAGGTCGATGGGCAGAAGTGCAGCAGCAAGGGCAGACCTGGGTCCCTCAGCCTGCCCCCCCTGTCTGCAAGCCCTTGGCTCATGGAGTGAAACTCAAGTACACCCTGAGAACCCGAAGCAAAAGCTGCTCATCCCTTGGAGAACCCCCCCAGCTCCCACAGCACACCCAGCCTTGCCACCAGCCCCAGTTCCCATGGGACTGGGCTGCTGGGGGTGCCCCGAAGGAATTCCCACATCAGTGGGTTTTGGGAGCTTCCCTCTGTGCACTCACCATTGTCTAATACAAGCTGGAGCTTTTTCCCAGGTGGGGACTACAAATATCCCATTTCCCCCATGGCACCTCCTTTATTTCGTAACCAGACAGTGGGCTGGACTGTGCTGGAGTGGTAGTGGAGAAACCAGGCTCTGCACCCCACAGTTCCCCTGAAAATGCTGGAACTCCCTGCAGTGCTGTGCCTGACCCAGGAGCCAGCATCCCCCCAGGAGCCCACCCAGCCCTCCTCTGCTCAAAGCTCCTGAGTTTTCCCAGGGCAGGGAGATGGCATGACTGCACTGTCTGGTGGTCAAACCTGCATGTTTAAAAGGGAATTTCTAGTTGGTGGTTTTTCTAAGGATTTGTCTGATGGATCACTCTGGTTCAAATATTTTTCCCGGTGTTTGAGTCCTTTACTTGCTAGGCTTGTGTTTATCTGCTTTTCCCTGCTTGTGTGGCTCTTTGCTTTGGAGCAAGGTGCTGAAAATCTGTGTATTGATGGAGTCAACAGCAGCTTTCTACCCTTCCCACATCTAAGGGAGAAGGGAAACCCTCATGCTTTTGAGACCTCAAAAATTAATGACTGGAGGTGCTTCCTCTCTGGGGCTGGTCTCCTCCTGGAGTGTTCTGGAATGCTCCAGGCTGTGTGAGAACATGGATCACCTCTCCACAGGGCACAGCTCTCCTGGGCAGGCTCAACTCACGCTGCGAGCGGCTCCTGGGGCACCACCTGCCCAGTGTGAGCTGTCCTTGGAGTCATTTTGGGGCTGAAAGTGTTAAGTGGCTGGAGGTGTTGTGGCACATGGTCCCTGCAGGTCCTGTTGGTTGCTGGAACCAGGACATCAGCAGGGGACAATGGGGACATTCCACATAGGGCTGAGCCAGTGCTGTGTAACAATGGGCACTCTCTGCCAGGGCAGGGGGACACTGTAAAGAGGGACACAAGTGGCACAGGCTCCAGAACAAGGAGGAGACTGAAGAGGAAGGAGCCTGTTGTCTCTTCCTTCTCCTCCTTCTAACATCTCCTACCACCTCCCACCTGCCTGCTCCTCTCCAGAGCAATAGCACAGGAGGCTCCTGTTCCTGGCAGTTCTGTACTTTTGGACACATCAGCAGCAATGGCAACGCTCACTCTGGGCCAGATGCTGGATGCTGCCCTCGGGTCATTGAGAGATGGACTCGTTGACTTTGAGCAGCTGCACAACCTCCTGAACGCCATGCTTTTGCACCTGGGCCTGAGGGATCTGCTTGTCCAGAAGAATGGGGAACCACTGGAGGGGGCCGAGGAAAGCCCTTTCTCTTTCCTTAAGGAGTTAAAGCAGAAAGTGGAAGCCAATGAAAAAGAAATCGCCGAGGTAGAGGCTCTTCCCAGCCCCAGGTGCTGCCCTCAAGCCACCCCCTCCTCTGGGGTCTGAACCCCCTCGTGCTGCTGGGAGCTGCTGCTGAGGATGTGCTGAAGGCCAAGCCCTGAACTGCCCCTGGCTCTGTGCAGACCGTGGTGGGTGCAAAGGACCCTGCCCTGGGGCTCACCCCCCATTCCCCTCTCCTAGGTGCGGGCTCTTTGCCAGGAGCTGCGTGAGGAGGTCAATGTGGTCAAGGAGGAGCAGTCCCAGATGGCAGAGGACATGCAGTATATGCTACAGAATTTTGACATGGTGAGCTGCTGCTGGTGCCCTGCTGGCCTTGCCCTGCAGCCCTTGGAGGCTCCCAGTGTGAAGGGCACCAGGGGGATGAGAGGGAAGGGTGTCCTGAGAGCGGAATGTGGGTGCTCATCCCAACCCACCTGCAGCCCCCCACTTTCCTCTGCCACCACTGCCCGCAGGTCAAGCTGGTGGTAGAGGTCACTGCCTCCCTCAACAGGGCTGCTGAGGCATTTGTGAACTAAGCAGCCATCAAAAAAAAAGTAACCTGGGTCCGAGGAAGGTGAGGAGACAAAGGTCCACCTGTGGAATACAGCCACAGCCACTTGGCATAGCCCTGTCCAGGATCCCTCTGTCTGGTATCCAGGTTAATTTGCAAATGTCCCTTTTAAATCCTGCTGCTGTGTTCTGACTCCTGTCTCTGTCCTCACCCTACTGCAGGAAGGATTCCAGAACATGATGGATGAGTTCCGTAACCAGCTGATGGAGTCTCTCATGGTATGTCCTTGAGCATACCCAGGGCCTGCTCCAGGCCAGGGTCCCCTCACATCAGGACATGGTCCCCAGAAGTTCTGGAGGTGGGGGGGAGGGAGAGGGGTCAACACTCCTCTGGGTCCCATCATGCTCCCAGTTGCACAGATGGCTCTGATGCCTTCCTTCCAAAATAAAATCTGAAAGAGGCTGATGCTCTCCTCAGCCCCAGAGGAGGTGAGAAACATGGTGTGCTGGGACGTGCTGGAGGACTTCTTGGTGGGCAGGAAAGCAGGAGAAGGAGGAGAAAGAGGAGGTTGAGGTCTGGCAGGTGGAGCAGGATTGCAGCCCCCTGCACCTCCAGCCACTGTGCACCCCAGTGCCTCTGCTGAGGCTGCTCAGGACTCCTCTTCCCACCAGGAGAAGGACCTGGCATAGGCTGAGCCAGGGCAGCTCCTCAACTCACCTAACATGTGGTCCCAGCTTGTTTTCTGCTCAGAAAAAGGCCATGTTCAGGGTGGTAGGAGGAACAGCAGGAGCTGGTGCCTCCTTGGGGCCGGGCTGCACTGGTGTTGCACCACGGCCCCTCCTTGCTCAGCGTCAGGCAGGACCGTGGCTCCCTGCCCTCCAGGTGTCTGGAGTGTGGCTAGGATTAGGGGACAGCAGAGGGACATTATGGGGCAGGTCTGGGATACTGAGTCCCCTTGCTGGAGGCAAGAATGCCTTCCTGATGTATTAGATGGCATCAGTCAGGTGTTTGCTGGTCCCCTGGGCTGGCTGTGAAAACCATGGTCAAAGGGCTAAACTGGCCGGGGAGGAACATTTTGAAGTTCAGCACAGA